TCTGTCCGGTGCTGGTGTGGGGTGAAAATCCTCCACCTCAGACGTTCAGAGATGTAACTATCTGCAATACTGTGGTATGTGGTATTCCATGTAGCATCAATTATGCTAATGCTAGCTGCCTGTCACGTTCTCTCGTCCTGGCCACACCTCCGCTCTCTAACCCCCCTTCCTCTACCCACACCCCCTCCCCTACCCACTTTGATGCATTTTTCAAATTTCGCCTTGGGGCGGAGTTATCTTTTCACAGGGGGGGTAAGTTACACTTTAAGTATCTTACCATAAAATTATGTTGGTAAAACTTAAAGTCTTCTCTAAGAATGTTGAGTAAAAGTCAAAGTATTTGACGTTTACTGTACTTGAGTATCAGAAGTAAGTTTCTAATATAAAATGTACTCGAGTATTAAAAGTAAAAGAGGTTGGTTAGTGGGAGGTGACCCACCAAAAATGTTTTTCTAAAGGCCATAATGATTATAATGTTTTATTCAAATGTTAATGCTAAAACCTTTGGGATGCACTAGACTTAGTGTTTCATCTTCATACTAGAAGTGTGACGTGTGTCATACAGGTGAGATGGATCGTACAAACCAGTAAGGTGTCAAAACGGTATATACTCTATTTACTCATCTACAATCAGATTCACTCTGTCCAGGAGGCACAATTTATCTGGATGTGTTTTTATTTTTTACAGTATCAAGTCAGAATGAAAACAAGCCAAAAGTACCATAATGACAACTTTCTTCTTTTCTTTATAAAACATTGTAAGGAGCATAAAGTACAGATAATTGTGTGAAAATGTTAGGAGTAAAAGTAAAATACTGTCTGAAAAATAATTACTCAAGTAGAGTATGGATAACCAGTATTTCTACCTAAGTAAAGTTTGTACTTGGTTACTTTACAGTCCTGATCCTGACTCTGCTGAGTAACACTTGGCAACTCTGAGTGACAACTTTTTTTGTTTCCTTGTCTCTTGTTTGTGTTGTTTATTATTGAACACGGTGTAACGTCCTACACTGTGCGGGGGAGTCACGTGGTGGAGCCGTTTGTTTGAGGGACAATAGTTTGTCTATTCAAACAGTACTGACTGAAGAGCACATCCCTTCAAAACAAATGGCTTTTATTGTTAAAAAAAACATTTGGGTTTGCAACCTTTCTTCCCTTTTTATAAGAATAAATTGTATTTTTCTTTTTTTAAACAAATAGCTCACAGCAAAATACTTTCAGGTTTAGTATATAAAATATGGACATGAAGTACTGTGCAAATTCTTTAGTTATACTTTATGCGTATACTCAACTAGTGAGCCATATGTTACACTACCACTATAAACATACACTTTAATATTATAATTTACTCCTGAATCAGAAGATAATTTAACACAATGAAGCATGTTGTGTTCAAGGATACTCAAACATTAGAAAACTTTTTTTCATTTCTTTCGTTTTTTTTTTTAAATTGTTATTAGAAGAGACATTTCCTGCTTTCCAACTGCAGCATATACAGTGTATATTTTTTTACTTAGGTGTCAAAAGTTGCTTGACAAAAATTGATTAGGCAATCTGAAAATTTCAGTCTAGAAAAGTCTGAAGTTTTGAAACAGGAGAGGTTTGGGAACCCTGTGTTCATTATGCTAATTATGCAGAAACAAACAGGATTTCATTAAATTAAAACACATCTTACTATGTGTAACAAGTACACTGTAAACGTTCATTCAGCTCATCCTAACACCACCTTTTTAACTGTTTTTATTTAGTTTTTGCACATCTAAAGGTGTCATATTGGTGGGTGAGCTGGTGTCCATTTGTAAGAGTGTTACTTGTTACAGAAGCTAAGTTAAAGACTGAACAATAGAGCTAAAATCAAATACAAGACTTTCTTTGCTGCACATATTCAAAACAAAACATAACCTAAATAACATATTGCCATCCAGATCTTTAGAAAGAAACAAGTAATTCTCCAAATTAGTTCCTACTAACCCTTTATTTGCAAAAGTTTATTAATTATTTTCAGCGTAAAGAGATCCCTCATGGTTTGCTGCTACTGTCTGATGCATAGTCACACGTAAAGTCTCAGTCACAGTCTCTCATTGTTCTTCCAGCTGCCTCTCACTTCCTTTTGTTGGATAAAATTAGCTTCATGCCACAGTGGCAGCAGACTCTGTTATCTGCACAGCTTCACATGCTCTTTGAAACCCACTTTGTGCTTTAACTGCATTTCAACAGATACCTGAAACTTCCCTGTTTAAATGTCAAACACTACCAGTCCAAAACAGAATACACACACACACACACACACACACACACACACACACACACACA